CGCAGAAGACCGGGGATCGATTCCCACCGAGGACAAAATAAATTGATTGTTTTTTCAGAAAGGTAAAATGTTTACTTATCCGAATAAAACAATATAAGCAATTAAAATAAACAAATATGTTACTATCAATAGTAAAAATGTTAACTTTTTTGAAAATACCTAATATTTAGGTAATTTTGACCTAAAAATCAAGTCCACTAGCCATTTTTTTAGGTAACGATTACCAGAAATAAATTAAAAACTGCGTAAAAAATATAGTCCACATGGACAACATTTTAGGTAATGCATACCCTTGGCGCGTTTTTCTGGCCATGTTTCCTAAAATTTTAGGTAATTAGGCCCCTTTTTAGTCCATTTTGTTTTCTGGGTGTGTAAATATTTTAGCTCAGAGAAACTGGGTTGGGTAAAATGAAATTTTTGAAATTTGAATACGAGAATCGTTTGTCCATCATGTGTCCACTTGTGTCCACCCTTTACTTTTTTTTGTCCTCGTCCAGTTTCAAAAATATGGAATTTCAAAAATCAAAAATTTGAATTTTTCAAATTTTTTTTTTTGGTGGACAGATAAGTCCTCACTTTTTAGTTTTCACTAAATTCCAAAAAAATTAAACTCGAATTTTTCAAAAAAAATTTTGGTGGACAGATATGTCCTCGATGAGTCCACTTGTGTCCACCTTTCAGAATTTGGATAAAGTCAAAACTTTGAAAGATATACCACTTTTAAGTTTTCACTGAATTTCGAAAAAAATTAAAATTTGAATTTTTCAAAATTTTTTTGTAAACAATTTTCGGCCACCACTTACAAATAATAAAAATCTCTTAAAAGTAAATATTTAAAAATAGGAAACTACTGTCAATTTTTTAAAGAATCCGAAGAAATATGCAGAAGATGCTACGAAGAAGAGATCGTTGAAGGAGATCCAGGTCCTCATGTCATAATAGACATCGAATTTGCGACGCATAGTGCCTTTCATCGATAATCCACAGCCGGCTCAACAGGATCTGCAACATTGCTCCAGATACCACAGGAAATAGTAATACAGAATAAACAAGAGAGAACGCTATAGTCGGGTTGTTCTCCCGACTATCTAATACCCGTCACTCAGCTAAAGGGAGTGCGAACGCTGTGTCGGGTTGGTGTCCCGACTAATAATCGTAACTCAGCTAAAGGGAGTGCGAGGGAGATAGATATATAATTTTTGATTGCGTATAACTTTTTAATGAATGGTCCGATTTGAAAAATGTCTTCTACATTTCGATAGGTATAAATATACACAACAAAATTGCATTTATACTTCTCGGAAATCTTTAAAGATGTGGGCGCAGGACCCATTTTAAAATCGTTAGTGGGCGATTGTGGGCGTTAGAGGGGGCGTGGCGCTCGGCTAAAATAAACTTGCGCTGCGTAGGAAGCCAAAGAATATGTGTGGGAAATCTCAACCTTCTAGCTTTTGTAGTTTCTGAGATCTCAGCGTTCATACAGACGGACAGACGGACAGACAGACAGACAGACAGACAGACAGACAGACAGACAGACAGACGGACAGACGGACATGGCTAGATCGACTCGGCTAGTGACCCTGATCAAGAATATATATACTTTATGGGGTCGGAAACGCTTCCTTCTAGCTGTTACATACTTTTGCACGAATCTAGTATACCCTTTTACTCTACGAGTAACGGGTATAAAAATACATTTTGAGTGGTGCCATTGAGTACCTTCCAGCGGCAGGAAATGGAATTGGGCACTACATTTCTTATTGCCGCAGACTAACAGGATATTGGGAAGTTCACGACGATATGTGCCGACAATGGAAAAGATTCACGGCTTCTACCACGAAAATGATTTTCCATATACTTGTATATACGCAGACCGAGTAATATGTATTGTATATTAATTTAAAATTCGAATTTTGTACAATTATTGTTAAGATGATTCATTGTTATTTTGTTGAAAAAAAATGTTATTTTGTTTAAAAAATTGTTATTTTGATTTAAAAAAAATAAATTGTTATAAAGTTTACGAAATGTATTTTTTTTTTGTGGGAAGCTAAACTAAAGTGTTTGACTTTAAGGGATGGAAATTAAAAAAGAAGAGATTGACAGTAGTTTCTTATTTTTAAATATTTACTTTTAAAATTCTGAAAGGTGGACACAAGTGGACTCATCGAGGACTTCTCCACCAAAAAAATTTTGAAGAATTCAAATTTTTGATTTTCGAAAATTTTTGAAATTCCATATTTTTGAAACTGGACGTGGACAAAAAAAACTAAAGGGTGGACACAAGTGGACACATGATGGACAAACGATTCCCGTATTCAAATTTCAAAAACTTCATTTTACCCAACCCAGCTTCTCTGAGCTGAATATTTTTAAAAGACTTACGAATATTTTAAGTTTAATTTTTTGAAACCTCTTTTTGTGATGTATTTTCTAAAGTTTTGACTTTTTCAAAATTCTAAAGGGTGGTCAATCGTGGACAAACGGTAGACAAACGATTCCATGCAAAAAAATTTAAAAATTTCAACTTTTTGATTTTCGAAAATTTTTGCAATCCCATATTTTCGAAACTGGACGTGGACAAAAAAAACTAAAAGGTGGTCAAACGGTGGACAAACGATTTCCATATTTAAAATTCGAAATTTTAATTTTACCCGACCCAGCTTCTCTGAGCTCGCATTCAATATATCTTGAAGGATTTTTAAAAAAAGTCGTTCACTATTTTTGTCCACACTTTTGCAATGTAAGAAGTAAGGTTGGATATTCAGCTTAACGTATGGCAGATCCAAAACGTTGGCAAATGCTTGGAGTTGCCAACCGTCGTCTGTCAGCGGAATCAGATGAACCGATGCTTGCCTTATCGGAAGCGTAGTATGTTTTGGTATTTTGCAGGGCCGGTGTTTTGGCACCTATCACAGCGCTTATCACTGTAGAACGTCGTGGTCAGCACCGTTCACCGGTTGGTCACAGCTAGAAACTCTGTTGTCTTGGGCCCAGGCAAACGCTTGTTGGCCCGCTGACCTTGAATACTCTAATGCGAATTGCTGATAGTAAGCACAGAGAAAAAAAATCTAACAAGAGAGAACGCTATAGTCGGGTTGGTGTCCCGACTATCTAATACCCGTCACTCAGCTAAAGGGAGTGCGAACGCTGTACTCGGGTTGGTGTCACGACTAATAATCGTAACTCAGCTAAAGGGAGTGCGAGGGAGATAGATATATAAATTTTGATTGCGTATAACTTTTTAATGAATGGTCCGCTTTGAAAAATGTCTTCTACATTTTGATAGGAATAAATATACACAACAAAATTGCATTTATACTTCTCGGAAATCATTAAAGATGTGGGTGCAGGACCCATTTTTAAATCGTTAGTGGGCAATTGTGGGCGTTAGAGGGGGCGTGGCGCTCGGCTAAAATAAACTTGCGCTGCGTAGGAAGCCAAAGAATATGTGTGGGAAATCTCAACCTTCTAGCTTTTGTAGTTTCTGAGATCTCAGCGTTCATACAGACGGACAGACGGACATGGCTAGATCGACTCGGCTAGTGCCCCTGATCAAGAATATTCGGCATGTTCCAGTTTTCACTCGGAAGTGAATTTGATTTCATGCTAGCGGATTTAAGTCCGCCTGTCAAATGCTTAGCGGAAAGTTTCCATGCGAATTTTTCGGAAGTTAACAGAGTAACAACAAGGGATATTTAAGTCCTAGCAATTCTTTCGGAAGTGAGTCCTGGAACAGGTCTGAGAATTCCGTGTGAATCTTTCGGAAGTGAAAACTAGAACAGGGCCGTATATATACTTTATGGGGTCGGAAACGCTTCCTTCTAGCTGTTACATACTTTTGCACGAATCTAATATACCCTTTTACTGTACGAGTAACGGGTATAAAAATATACTGCTTAGGAAAAAATAGAATTAGAAAACTCTTAAAGCTAAGGACCAACTTTTCGAGTTTTCGTATCCACGGACCTCATGGTTTCGTGAAAATGCCTCAGATTAAACGCCCAGAAAAACATATCTTCTAAAGTATTGGTTCGATCAAATTAAAGTTTTGTAACAAAATAAAAAATTTTTTTTCTTTTAATTGTATTATTTATTTTACCATTCTTTATACCGTTACTTGTATAGTAAAAGGGTATATCGTGAAAGTATATAGAGGTAGAAGAAAGCGTTTCCGACCCTATAAAGTATATATATTTTTGATCAGGGTCACTAGCCGAGTAGATCTAGCCATGTCCGTCTGTATGAATGCTAAGACCTCGGAAAATATAAAAGCCAGAATGTTGGGACTCACCATACGGATTCTAGGGGTTGCTACGCAGCGCAAGTTTGTTCCATCCGAGCATTGATGTCCGTAAGAAAGAAAGAATTTTGTTAATAAATGTTTTAAATGACATCGCCGTCTGCGATTTAAGTAGTTTATGTTATTGGGAAAATTGTTGATTATCCTATGCCGCTTTTTATACCCTTGCAGAGAGTATTATAATTTCAGTCAGATGTTTGCAACGCAGTGAAGGAGACGTTTCCGACCACATAAGGTATATATATTCTTGATCAGCACCAATAGCCGAGTCTATCTAGCCATGTCCGTCTGTCCGTCTGTCCGTTTCTATGCGAACTAGTCTCTCAGTTTTAAAGCTATCGCGATGAAACTTTTCCGAAAGTCTTCTTTCTATTGCAGGTAGTACATATGTCGGAGGGAGCCGGATCGGACCACTATCTTAAGGCTCCCTTAGGAATATTTAAACAAATATGAGAAAATTCATTGTAACTTTGTAGGAAGTAGGAGTTCTTATTTTTGAAAACTTAAAAACAAAATTTAGCTTCCTTTCTTTTTTTTTGGTGTATATAACCACAAAGCACTTCTGCTGTCGCGATTGCTTAAGCCACGCGTTAGATGACGAACCGCTGCGAGAAAACACGCGCCGGTCTTAAAATAGCAAATCGAACTAAAAAGCCGAGTACTGTCATTAATGCCCGTCTCTCTCTCTCTCGTGCAGCTATCCGTTAATCAACATACCTTTGCCCGGGACAATACCCACCAAGATTTTGCTACCCTACGAGGCTTGGTCTGGGTACAACCACAGTAGCTCCACAATTTCACCGCCAGCACCCCCAGCCGCCGGCGAACCATCGTCCTCCGGAACCGCCCACCCTCACAATGGCAGTGCCACGGACCGCAGCCTGCCCCCTCTGCTGCCGTGGGCGCAAAGCAGTCCTGCTTTTTTCTATGTCCAGCAGATAACCCTGCGAGCCAGCGTTCTCCCCTGGACAGAGGGAATGCAGCTGATGGATGCGTTCCGTGCACCACTCTATGAAGTTTTTAAACTGCTTGAAATTGTGCGCAATCATCAGAGCAACGAAAAGTGAGTAAATCGAAGGGGTCTTCAGTCTCTGGAATAATCTAATTTACTTTATTGTTTGCCACAGCCAGCGCACCCTAGAGCATAACTGCTTGCACGTAGAAAACGTAAAGCGCGGGACACATGGACAACTGGACCAGATCTTTCCCGAGTACGGATGCCTTCTGCTCTCGCCTGCCAACCTGTGGACTCAAAACGCTCAGAATTTCACACGGGACACAAACATCCTAAACACGATATTTCAGTACCATGTAAGTAGACACCAATATATATATTGCATCCAAGTAAGTCCATGAACTTCAATGTCGTAGAGGAAAATTAGTTATCTTACACCTGCTCGGACTTTATCAATTCGGATTAAAGCCCCACCTCGTCGCTCTTCGATTAAAGTGCCGGGTGGCCAAGGCTACAGACCATTGCCCATATACATACTTCATGGACTGCTGCCTTTACCAAGCACTAGCAGTCTGTAAATATTTTTGAGAACTCATATGATTTGGGTTGTGAATAGTAGTGTAGTCTAGACACCACACAAGCCAGACCTTTGGTCTTTTAAGTGCATACCTTTAAATGTGCACTGTGTTGTTGAGACCAGCCCGATCGGCTTTGAGCTAATGAAAGGCATACACACCGCGTAATAGCTCTCCACCCTAAGTTCTCGGAGGCAGGTATTTATTCAGAAAACTCAATATGGCGCCGATCGAAATAGATTTTATTAAATACTGGGATCTTCCATTTTATTTACTGAAAAATATGAGCATAATTTACCTTTCATTTTGAAATGCACTTTTAAAGCTACCCAGCTTTTAGAATGCATTTTAAAGAAGCAATTTAGCGATTTGGGCGTTAGAGTGGGCGTGGCGCTTGGCTGAAACAAACTTGCGCTGCGTAGGAAGCCCAAGAATATGTGTGGTTAATCCCAACTTTTAGTTTCCGAGATCTTAGCGTTCATACAGACAGACATGGCTAGATCGACTCGGCTAGTGATCGTGATCAAGAATATATATACTTTATAGGGTCGGAAACGCTTCCAATATACCCTTTTACTCTACGAGTGACGGGTATAAAAAAAAGCATTTGGTTATTAAAATGTTTTTAAATTTGCGTAAGTTTCTGAGATATTTTTTTATAACAAAATTATTTTGTTTTTTAATTTGGTAACTTTGCAAGCAAAGCGATTTCATAGATATGATAAAGGTAAAGTTCAAGGAAATTGGCCTTCTGTTGAATCGTGGAAATACTTAATACTTAAGATAACGCAACAATCAGAGAAAAATGCTGGCTTTACCCTCTGTACATATATCAGTGTGGGAAGTATTGATACAGTATAGGAGTTGCGGAACCATCTATTGATAGCATACATTATAAGTTCTTCCGATAAGCTTCTTGATAATTAACTCTCAAATCGGATCGATTAATTCCGTCTAAAAATGGTTACAAGTGCCGATTAATGTAGGGTAATCAACTTTCATTTTATGTTTTTGAACATGGCCTTGGAATCTTAAATATTATGTTAATCAACTTTTTGCTTAACTAAGTCCTCATTTTAAGTGAATAAAAAGGACCATAAAATGATTACAAAGCATTATGTTCGCATACCAATACTAGTAATTCCGCAATCCTTTACCTTTTTCCAGAACCTGCAAAAGTCAAAGGTTTCCGCTGCTGAAATGCTGTTTGGCCTGCCCATGCAGGACACTGGATTCAAGCGCTATCCTTTGCGCGCTCGCTCACGGATCATACAGTATGCCTTGACCTTGGTCCTCAAGCACAACGACGTGGAGTACTTGGAGACACTTAAAAAGAAACTGCAGCGACATTACCCGCCGCTGCCATTGTCACCGTCGGCAAGTGAGTCCGTGGAGGAGCCATCGACAATTACGTATATATTTTACCCGGGAGAGTACCGGATGTGGGAACTTGTGCCCTATACGGTGGCTTTTATGCTGGTGTTTGCGTACGTCTACTTCTCCGTCCGTAAAATTGACGTTTTCCGCTCCCGCTTTTTGTTGGCTCTGTGCAGCGTAATTACCACGGCAGGAAGCCTGGCCATGTCGCTTGGCTTGTGCTTCTTTTTCGGCCTGACCATTTCTCTGCAATCAAAGGACATATTTCCCTACTTGGTAATACTGGTGGGACTGGAAAACAGTTTGGTGATCACAAAAAGCGTAGTGTCAATGGACGAAACCTTCGACGTGAAGATCCGTGTGGCACAGGCACTAAGCAAAGAAGGCTGGCATATATCAAAAACGTTGTTGACGGAGATTACAATCTTGACTATTGGCCTCGCCACATTCGTTCCAGTCATTCAGGAGTTTTGCATATTCGCCATAGTCGGCTTGCTCTCAGACTTCTTGTTGCAGATGCTGCTCTTTTCCACCATCCTAGCAATGAACATTAAGCGGGCCGAATACACGACAGAGGCCAAGCATCTTCCTAAGATGCTGCTTAGCTGCACCCAAGGGGTGGGTCGCCAGGACTTTCGCTTTTTTGGGGCCACCCCGGCGATTCCGCCCTTTGTTCCCGGCACATTCCAACGATCACAGTCGCATCCAAAGCTCTGTTTTGCAGATGCCGCATCTGTCAACGAACGGACAAGCAACGGCCACTCGCCACAGGAACAGCGGATCCCCAAGCGCATCAAGATTGTAAACTTTTGGGCTCGGACCCGCTTCTTTCAGCGGGCTTTTATGATCTGGATGATTGTGTGGATATGCTCTATAGTGTATAACTCGGGATGCCTGGAGCAATTGTTTAGCATGGAGAGTAACGGGACTATGACTGCTACCTTTGAACTCCAACGGCGTCTACAAGCGGGACGTGGAGCCGTTAGCAGCTTTTTCGAGGGATGGCAGGCGGACGGGCAGCGGACCACGACGAATGTTCCCAGCAGCAACGGCTTTTCTGCTCCCTTAAAACCTCCACTCGCGCAGGATATCAATGAGACGGCCGAGGAAATGCTGCGTCTACGGTATCCAAACTTTGACCTAAATTATTTCCTCTCAAACTTCCACTGGTCTACGATCATGAAGCAGTACAACATTTCACTAAGTGGGCACTACGTGACATTACTGCCAACCATTCGGCTAAGCCATGCCATCGCGCCCGAGATGGCCACATTGTTGCGCAACCCGCAGGAGCAGCTGCAACAGAATTTCCAGTGGAAGGCCTTGGCCGCTGCGCTCGATCCCCTCGACTTTAACGACGACGACGTGCGACGCGAGTCCCCGATGGTTATGGCCGGCGGGATGCCGTTGGTTCCTAAGAGCCCCATGGAAATATTCTTCGCCATCCTTTTGTGCTGCATTAGCATCTTCGTGCTCTGTTACACAATGGTGGTTTTTTACCGCTGCATCTGTACCAGGAACTATGCCGAGTGGCGTTCTAGCTGGCACGAATCTGAAGTGCCGTATAAGCAGACTGAACAAATCCTAGAGGGTGTGCCAACTCAAATCGCAGGCCACAAGCATCGCATTGAGTGCCTGGTCTCTGACGGTGCCTACATAATAAGTTGCTGCCTTAAAGGCCAAATCCGTGTGTGGGATGCCCGCAGTGGTGAGCAGCTAACCAACATCGGCCGATCCGACATCGCGATCTCTCACCCGCGACCAGATGGGCAGACGCTGGTACGGAAATTGGCCGTTTCTCCGGTGTGGTGTCTGGACTACTTCGACAATCTCATCGCAGTAGGCTGCGCTAACGGACGCGTTGAGCTGTGGGAATCCCCTGCCGGTTTGCTTAAATGTGCATACCAGGAAGACGCCAAGAGAAACCAGGGTATAACCCACATCCACTTGAATGGCGATCGGGTGATTGTGGCACGTCTGAACGGCCGTCTGGACTTCTATCGCTTAGAGACGTATTACAAGGGGAAGCAGATAGACTGGGGCTTTACCTCAGCCTACAGACGCAGTACGTTTTTGCTGATTCCCGTTCGAAATAATCTTAAACATTAAGACTCTTCTATTTTAGCTCACGTGCGAACAGGATCCACTGGAAGCCTGGGACTGATGATGCAGCAACAGCGCTGCCATCAAGATGCCGCTCAGAAGACCACTAAGGAGGAAATGAAAATAACATTGGAGGGTGTAAGACTAGCCCATCAGCAGCCAATCACGTGCATGCAGGTAGTCAACGACATGGTCTTCACCGGCAGCCAGGACCACACTCTCAAGGTTCGTCCAAAAGCTGTCCTTTGAAACTATTTTGCTTAATCCACCTTGTCTCCAAAGGTATATTGCCTAAACAAGCCGGATGCGGAGTATACGCTGCACGGACACTGTGGGCCCGTGACATGCCTATTCGTGGATCGCTGGCAACCGGGCACCGGGGGATCCGGTTCCCAGGACGGTCTGCTTTGTGTTTGGGATCTGTTTACGGGTGCCTGCATGTACAACATCCAAGCCCACGACGGCGCCATCAGCTGCCTGGCATGCGCCCCTAGCTATGTGATATCGTTGGGTACGGACGAGAGGATCTGCGTGTGGGAGCGATTCCAGGGAAATCTGCTGACTACTATCAAAATCTCCAACGCCTACTCAAGTCTGCTGATGCTAACACCTTCGCTGTTGGTGACCAGCAAAATGGGTAAGGGGTTCTCTTGGTTGTCATCTTGGGTAGTAGAGTACAACAGTGGCCAGTAATGGAAAACCTTCTTGATTTATATAGCATAACCTTAAACTTTAAAATTCAATTTCAAAAGAACCTCTGCTTTCCGCATAAAAAATTACTTACGTATTATTTTAACTTATTTTAAGAACTTAATAAGACTAAAAGTTAACGCTGGTAGCTCATTTTGCTTTGTTATCCTGAAGAAACGTATTTGTTGATCGCATTGCAATGTTATTCATAAAGTAGTGGAACTGCCTCCTGGAAAAAGTGCATGTAAACTTATTTATGACCGTTTCCTCATCTGCATTTTAAATTCCAGTACATTTTTAATGTTCAAAGTTTTCTTTTAGTTTGGGTCAAAAGGGTTAAGAAATCCAGCGATGGCCATTCTTGTTCTAGGGGAACAAACTTACTATTACTTATTACCCTATATTGATTATAGTTTTAATTAATTTAGTCAATTATATTGCAGGATCTCTTATTGTTTGGGATGTGCGCACTGGGCAGCCGGCTCGCGAGGTCAAGCTGGACTTTGCCAACCTACAGCTATGCCCCAAAATTATGATGCTTGCCTGCGATTCAGTAGTTTGCGACTACGGAAATGAAATCCGTGTCGTCCGCTTCCCAATCGTGGCTGACAAGTGCCACTAAAGTGCAAAAGATGAATTTACCGTCTCCCGCTAGCACTTAGGAATAAGTTGACTCTCGGCTCTCGAACGCCTCGAAGCCATTAACACATTCACTAAGTAATACATAGATACATTGTTAGGGCTCGCAGCAATTTACTACATAAACATGTATGCCCAATTTACATTGTTGTGTTTTTGTGTATTAAAAAAATTCTAAACAAATGTCTGTGAGACCTAAAAACTTAAAGAAATTTATATTGCCAACAATTTAATACCTCCTAATAATGTCCTAGATTTATTGCGTTTGTATCATATTTATGTATATATATTTTTTTAAGTTTCTAGGTCCCATAGGTGTATGTTTAAAAGTTTTATGAGCTTACACAAAATGCTATAAAGTGTTATTCTTTGCTAGGATTTCTTTTTAAAATTTGCACCCTAAGGGCATGACGATATGTTAAGGATTTAAGCTAAATGAAAATAATATACACACATATATTTTCGCGTAATTATATTACTACATAGTGTCTTAAAGCGCCTCAACCTAACATAAAATGACTAAAAGTTAAATTAAATACTATATTTATTAGAATCACTTTACGCTTAATTTTCTGTATGAAAAGTAAAACATAAAAAATGTATATTGATTTGTTTTTTTTTTATGTGTGATGTGCACTGTTGGGAATGGTCCTACCTATTTTATACTCGTAGAGCAAAGGGGTTTATTGTATTCGCGATATATTATATAAAAGCCAGGATTCCATGACTAACAGAATTGCTAGACAATATTTATTTATTTATTTACAATCTGCTGCGTAAGTACACTCAAAGAAAACAAGAAAGGAAGCTAGCTTCGGCCAGCCGAAGCTTATATACCCTTTCAGAGCATTCCTATTAATTAACAAATCGCAAAAATGTTCAATTTTCTAATATTTCTTATTAATTTTCCGATCGTTCCTATGGCAGCTATATGATATAGTCGTCCGATTTTGATCAAATTAAAATTGAAATTCGGAAATATTTAAAAAGAGTCATATCCTAGAGTAGAAGATAATACAATAAAAACCAAAGAAGCTAGAATTTATTTCCAATTACTTTTCCATTAATTTTCCGATCGTTCCTATGGCAGCTATATGATATAGTAGTCCGATTTTTTAAATAATTAATTAATTAATTCAGAAATATTTAAAAAATAACATCCCCAAAAGTAGAAGGTAATATTTCAAAAAACACCGAAGCTAGAATTTTTTAAAGTTTTTTTTCCGATCCTTCCTATGGGAGCTATAAGATATAGTTGTCCGATCCGGTTGGTTCCGACATATATACTACCTGCAATAGAAAGACAACTTTTGCGAAAGTTTCGTCCCGATAGCTCAAAAACTGAGAGACTAGTTTGCGTAGAAACAGACAGACGGACAGACGGACGGACAGACGGACAGACGGACATGGCTAGATCGACTCGTCTTGTGATGCTGATCAAGAATATATATACTTTATGGGGTCGGAAACGTCTCCTTCACTGCGTTGCAAACTTCTGACTGAAATCATAATACCCTCTGCAAGGGTATAAAAACACCAAAAGCGCCCCTGGTTTTAGAATATCTTCTAAGTTGTTTCAGTTGCGGTTTTATCTGTATTAAAGAAAGTATGTGTTTGGAGAGGGTATTATAATTTCAGTCAAAAGTTTGCAAAGCAGTGAAGGGGACGTTTCCGACCACATAAAGTATCAATAGCCGGGTCCATCTAGCCCATGTCCGTCTGTCCGTTTCTATGCGAACTAGTCTCTCAGTTTTAAAGCTATCGCGATGAAACTTTCCCAAAAGTCTTTTTACTATTGCAGGTAGTACATATGTCGGAACGAGCCGGATCGGACCACTATATCTTATATCTCCCATTGGAATAATAAAACAAGAGAGAACGTTATAGTCGGGTGCCCCGACTATCAGATACCCGTTACTCAGGTAAAGGGAGTGCGAGGGAGATGGAGATATAGATTGAAAACTTTGATCACGCATAACTTTTTAACGAATGGTCCGATTTGAAAAATTTCTTCTACATTTCGATAGGTATTGATAAACACAATAAAACTGCATTTTTACTTTTCCAAAATATTAAAGTTTTTAAAATCGTATATAAGCGATTGTGGGCGTTAGAGGGGGCGTGGCACCATTTTGAAACAAACTTGCGCTGCGTAGGAACTCCTAAAATCTGCATGCAAAATGCCAATCTTCTAGCTTTTATAGTTTCCGAGATCTCAGCGTTCATACAGACAGACAGACGGACAGACGGACAGACGGACAGACAGACGGACAGACGGACAGACGGACATGGCTAGATCGACTCGGCTAGTGATCCTGATCAAGAATATATATACTTTATGGGGTCGGAAACGCTTCCTTCTCCCTGTTACATACTTTTGCACGAATACAATATACCCTTTTACTCTACGAGTAACGGGTATAAAAAAACAAGGAAGGAAGCTACCTTCGGCCAGCCGAAGCTTATATACCCTTGCAGATAAAGTAATACTCACTCGGTGCAGTTCCAGGGATTCCAGATTCAGCGCTTCTATTTTTGAATTTTGTTTTTAAGTAGTCAAGAATTAAAACGCCTACTTCCTACAAAGTAACAATGAATTTTCTTATATATGTTTGAATATTCCTATGGGAGCCTTAAGATGTAGTGGTCCGATCCGGCTGGCTCCGACATATGTACTACCTGCAATAGGAAGAAGACTTTCGGGAAAGTTTTATCGCGATAGCTTTAAAACTGAGAGACTAGTTCGCATAGAAACGGACAGACGGACAGACGGACATGGCTAGATAGACTCGGCTATTGGTGCTGATCAAGAATATATATACTTTATGTGGTCGGAAACGTCTCCTTCACTGCGTTGCAAACATCTGACTGAAATTATAATACCCTCTACAAGGGTATAACAATAGAATCAAGAGAGAGCACTATTGTCGGGTGCCCCGACTATCAGATACCCGTTACTCAGCTAAAGGGAGTGCTAGGGATATGGATATATAAAACTTTGATCAGTTTTTTCAGTAGTTTCCGAGATCTCAGCGTTCATCCGGACGGACATGGCATAATCGACTCGGATAGTGATCTTGATCAAGAATATATATACCTTACGGAGTCGGAAACGCTTCCTATCTGTTACATACTTTTGCACGAATACAATATACCCTTTTACTCTACGAGTAACGGGTATAATTATCATTCTGGTACTATACATGTTTACTCGCATTTTATAGGATGCCTTAACTTTTTTAAAGTTTGACAACATGTAGGAGCAGATGCTTTAATCAAAAATGTGTTTTTATTCGTTAAATAAATCCAATAAAATATCCTCATGAAAACGCTTTAAACGGAAATTTAGGCATACAATGAACAATAGATTCAATGAATAATTTAAATTAGTTCCATTTAAGATTTAATTCTCAGAATTGTTATTCCATTAGAGAAATGATTAAAATTTGGGGATTTTCAACTTTGGCGTCGAATTTTAAAGACATGGTTCACAATGGGGACTATTTGTTAGGAATGCCGTGATGTATTGAAAGTAGATTTCAGCGAAAATAATTAAGGTAAGTCCAATTATATAGGCCACATAATTCGAAATGTCGGCAAACATCAGTTTTTTTAATTCTCAGCTATACCGCGGAACCTGCAGGTGATGGTACATAAGTTTGTATAAGAATTTTACTCAGGAGCACCAAATTATTATGGAAAATTTGAAATGGTGCGTGGAAATTTTTGGCTGTGTACAACTATTTAAAATAGTTTCAAGGTACAAAAACAAAATACACACACCCGTAAGCGTTATATTTTAATAGTAGTTTAACTACTTAATGGTACGCAAAGTAAAAACAAATACACGGACGACTATTTTTATGGTTAAAGTACTATTTTTTATAGTTACTAAACTATCTTTATTAATCAATTTAACCAAGCAAATTTTTTTTGTGAACATTTTTATGGTTGGGGCCTGTTTGACAATTATTTCAGTTGATTTTGTGTGTACATGTTTTTTTGACTACATAATACTTCCACAGAACAAGAAGTTACACATACAGAACATTAAAAGACATTTTTAGTCCCTTGTCCTTGGACATGGTCGTTCATAACTCATATATGAAAGGCATTGACACGAAGATTAATCCTGTTTTTATATTTTTGCAATGTACTCATTGGTTGAAAAGATATTTGCATTCAATTTTTAAAAAGTCTATTGCAGGTCTATACATAGTCGAACCCAGCCGGATCGAAATAACATTTTTTTAATAATTCTTAATTTCGAATTGAGTTTTATCGAAATCGGACGAATATATCATATAGATGCCATAGCACATTGGGATGAAAAGCCTTTTTTTGGCATAAAGTCCCAAATTATTTTGTGAAATTTTTGGTTTTTCTTTTTTTTATCCGTTAAAGAAATGTTTAACTATCTTAAAACTATTTTTAAAATATTTTTGTGACCATCCCTGGCTTTTTGCCAGCTCTCTAAAGTCAGCTGTTCGAGTTAAGTTGCGTGCGCCTAAATTTTTCTACGAAGTGTCACAAAAGCTTAATTATTTATTCTATTGCAAATTAAGCGCATTCTTTTCGGCTAAATTATGGGAAATCTTCGTCAAGGTATGTATAATATTGCTTAGAGGGCTTACACTAGAAGTGCTTTTGTTTTGTGCTGTTTTTAATTGTTTTATTGAACTATGTTTTGTGTAGAAGTTAACCTATAAATATTTGTGTTTCGTGGAGTAGAACTAGCAAGTGTACGCAGGATTGCGAAAAGTGCAAATGTGGTAATATGTGTTATTGTGTCACCGTAAGGCAAAGTTATGCTCTGATCTACTGACTTTAAAATAAATCGAAATATCCACCCAATTGCGTGGATTTGTGACGAGATATAAGAAACAAGACTATCTAATACCCGTCACTCAGCTAAAGGGAGTGTGAGGGAGATGGATATATACAATTTTTTTCATTGCGCATAACTTTTTAATGAATGGTCCGATTTGAAAAATGTCTTCTACATTTCGCTAGGTATAAATATACACAACAACATGGCATATATACTTCTCGGAAATCTTTAAAGGTGTGGGCGCCAGACACATTTTAAAATCGTTAGTGGGCGCTAGAGGGGGAGTGGCGCTCGGCTGAAATAAACTTGCGCTGCGTAACCTTTTAGCTTTTGTAGTTTCCGAGATCTAAGCGTTCATACAGACGGACAGAAAGACGGACTGACGAGTAACAAGTATAAAAATTAATGTTGTACTTAAAAAAATTTAAAAAAAACTGCCATCGAAAAACAAGTAAGTTGTATTTTCGTGATCTAGGGCTCCAACAGTAACACAGTTTGCCAACAATTGCTGGGAAGCACATAAGTAATATTATTTTGTAAACTAGTGTAATCCACGGGAAACATGTTAACAACAAAAAATGTTATTGTAGTCTTATCGAAAAGGCGCTAAATTTTGATGTAGAAACGAAAATTAAGAGAGTTCTCTCCCACATAAGAGAGCAGTATTATTTTATTTTGAACAGCTGACTTGGTAAGTGTGTGCGTTTAATATGATTCTTGGAAATCGCCGTTCTTTGTCAACAAATAAAACCGGTGGCGATGAATAATACGAAAAATCTGATGCGTTTCTTGTGTCTTTTACAAATCATGCGTATGATTATTTACTAACAAAAGCTGCTACATATATTTACATATGTACTCTGTACATTGTACATACATATGAATAACTCTTGACATAAACAAAAGTGTAGTCGAATAACCAATAGCTATCACTTGGATAACACAAGATAAAAAGGGAGAGACTTCCTCTGCGGTCGTTATTATAATATGCGAACTCGTTTGACATTTTATAACAGAAAGATCGTTTGCCATTAAAAGTTTAGGTATTCAGTTGGATTCAGACGACTATGAGTAAGTGTGAGCGCAGGGGCATACCCGGAGATTCTATCTGGGTAGGGAGAGCAACATATGTATAGCAAGACCTGGTTATCAGCCACGTCCACGTCGGAGAGCAGATAACACACACGACGGTGCGCAATTAGCACAGAGGCGTAGTGCCGAGGAGTCGGATAAAATCAGATCAGAGCGGCGGGGGGCATCCGATGAATAAGCCCCCTTATCTGGGGTCTCTCTTATGCGAAATTCTTTTCGCCTTTTCAGTGTCGCGAGAACCGCCGTTCGGTGCACAAGTGCGCCACAAAGCTACAGAGGCGCAGGGTGAGAACGCGAGATAAAGATAGAAAGCTCCAGCGCACGGGAAACGGAGTGATAATGGGTTGGTGGAGCAAGAAAAACGAGACGGACCGCAGCCAGCCGAAACAGGCGCTGGTGCTGCAGGACCCGCGCACACGCGTCAAGACCACGAGCGCCGCCACGGAGACAACCAACACGGCCGTGCAGAACTCCACGATCACGGACAGCAACAAGCAGACGGTCACCTTCCTCTCCACCCGCCAGACGGTGACGCACACGCAGCGGGCACATATCACGGAAACGACAACGCGCCGCACGCCCAGCCAGGCGGAGTTGGAGGCGCTCTTTGCCCAGATGAGGATGGGTGGCGAGGGAGGAAGCGGTACCACCACCACCACTACGACCACCTCCTCGAGGTCCCGACCGCCCAGTCTGAACGGAGTCTCCTTCCGCTCCACACAGCCCTTCAAGGCCACGGCCGGAAAGCGTTCCAGCACGCTTGTCAAGACCGAGCAGACGACTGTCACCAAGAAGAACGGGCACACGGTCACCCAGCACCTGGAGACGCAGCACGTAGACCTCAAGGGCAGGGGCAGCAAGCCGAACTGGTCGCCGTTCACCTCCACGGCCAGCAGCTCGGGTTCCACCTACGTTTCGCCCTACGCCCAGAAGCCGAGCCTGGCCATAACCTACACGTCTCCATATGTCAAGACTCCAGGAGCCACTAGCTCGGTTGCCAGCTCCGTTACGAGTGTGCCCAGTGCTCCCAAGTCGACGTCATCCAGCTCCTCTTTTTCAAGTTTTTTTAAGCCTTCCCCCAAAGCAGCTGACAAGCCGCTGACGGCCACTGCAACACCCAAGCCCTACATTAGCTTGGGATCACCATCGACTAGCGTCAAGCCCAAAGTCACAGGCCCCGCACGCACCCTCGACGCCCAGGGCACTAGTATATCCAGCCTCGGTTCCTCAAAGTCCAGCCTAACCAAGAGTAAACTGAAGCCCGCCAGGGTGTATATCTTTAACCACGAGCGGTTCGATAACAAGAACGAGTTCCGTACGGGCAGTTCCCAGGATGTGAAGGTCTTGCGATCCACTTTCGAGCAGCTCAGGTGCAAGGTGGAAATCATCACTGACGCCACTCTGGCCACCATCAAGCGGACGGTGCGAATGCGTAAGTAGAGCGAAAATTCTTTCGTCTGTCGATTGGTGTCGCAAGCCACATTCATATTTGCAGTTGAAACCAAGGATTTTGAGGACAAGAGCGCTTTGGTGCTGGTGATGCTCAGCCATGGAACGCGCCACGACAGACTTGCAGCAAGGGATGATGACTATTCCCTCGACTACGACATTCTTTTCCCAATCCTGCGCAACCGGACACTAAAGGACAAACCCAAGCTACTATTTGTCCAGGCTTGCAAGGGCGCCAACGAGCTGGGGGGATTTATGACGGATGCCGCTCAGCCCAATGGGTCCCCCAACGAAATTCTCAAGTGCTACAGCACCTACGAGGGATATGTCTCCTACCGCACGGAGGACGGCACTCCATTTATTCAAACTTTGTGTGAGGCCCTCAATCGTACGGGCAAGACCTCAGATATCGACACAATAATGACCAATGTGCGGCGCGTGGTTAAACTTCAAACCAAGTAAGTGGATAAGGGACCCTGTGTAAGTCAAAATAAAATTATGATTATTTTTTTTAGAGACGGCCAAATTCCATCAGTTACCAGCACGCTCACCTCTAAGTACGTTTTTGGAGATTACATCTGATCAAAGTATTCTTTACCATATATGTATTTCCCTTAATCCCTGACATGAGCTTTAAGTCGAGATGTAGAAGCACCTAAGTAGAATAAGCCAAGTGTACCAGTAAATTTACTATAACAATTTGGTAGCATGTTTTTTGTTGTTGCATTTTTTGTACAGTTTTTAAGAGTGTAACCACAAAAGCTGGTACTTTTACAAAGCATGTGTATTTTGCTGTTAATTAAACTGTGCTTTTTAAATTTACCTTGATGGATGCTATATTGTTGAATTCGTTACGAATTCCCAAATTAAACTGCGTTTTCCAAAACGTTCCCCGTCGCAAGGATTGTTAGCACAAGAACCTCAAAGTTCGCAAAATGCAGAAATTGGTCCATTTTCCGGAGGTCTCAGAGGCAAACGGATTCATGGTTTGTTTTGATGTGAAAGTTTTTTAAAAGTGGCACTCATTATCTTTCGGACCCCATACTCCGAATAATTTTAATTATTCGTATAATTACACCAGTTTACAAAAAAAAATCGACCTCTTCCTACTCGAAGGCAATCTTGGTTTTCCGGTAAAGTACATCTTCCTGATTAAGAAATGGGCACTTAAAATTTTTGTTATGGTGTCAATTTTTTTTTAAGTGTAAAAAACGTTTTTGGGCCTTTTTATACCCTTGCAGAGGGTATTATAATTTTGGTCAGAAGTTTGTAACGCAGTGAAGGAGACGTTTCCGACCCCATAAAGTATATATATTCTTGATCAGGATCAATAGGGGAGTCGATATAGCCATGTCCGTCTGTCCGTCTGTCCGTCTGTCCGTCTGTCCGTCTGTATGTCTGTTTCAATACCGTTTGCGAGCTCAGTTTAAAAGCTAGCGCCTTGAAACTTTCACAGTCGTCCTAAAACATGTGTACGCAGATCAAGTTTGAAAGCCGACCCGATCGGACGTCTATATCCTATAGCTCCCATAGGAACAATCGGATATAGCTTTCACAAAAATGAAGATATTTCGCTCAGTGTAAGAGCTATTGGCATGAATCTTTCTAAATCGTATTTTTTTGTGCGTACCTTGATCAGGGTAAAAGCGCATGCCGATCGGACGTCTATATCTTATAGCTCCCATAGGAACAATAGGGTGAAATCGGTCAAAATTTGACGTTTTTCAGGATATTTCGCGCAAAATATTAGCTATTCCCATGAAACTTTCCAAATCGTATTTTTTTGTGCGTACCTTCATTAGGGTAAACGCGCGTGCCGATCGGGCGTCTATATCCTATAGCTCCCATAGGAACAATAGGGTGAAAAATTTTAAAATTTTATTTTTTCAATTATAAAATATTTTGTTGTTTATTAATTCATGTTGCTAGTCTAGTCAAGTTTTAATTCGTAAAATCTGCAAGGGTATTAAAACTTCGGCTTGCCGAAGTTAGCTTCCGTCCTCGTTTATTTTTTATCTTGAGTTCTGGTAAACCGATTGAGGTCATAGATAGCTCAGTTTACAGGTAATATAATGCCCTTTAACTTTCCTATACACAGCATTGAGTTCCAGTCATTAGTTTGGAAGCTGCACCTTGTCAAAGTTAAAAAAGTTGAAAAAATGCAAAAAATACACATAAAAAATACAAAAAAAAATCAAATAAAAATACACGCCATAAAACCGAAATTAGTTTTACAGCTAGTAGCCTTAACCATTGTGTACATTTAGTTTTACTAAATTCAACCAAATTTGTTCGGTTGGAACCTTATTCCTAAATTATTTTCGGTGTTTATTGTTCGTTGTGATTCAATAACAATCAAATTGCAAAAGTACTTAGAATTAAGATTAAAATATACGACCCTGTTCTAGTTTTCACTTCCGAAAGATTCACACGGATTCGAATTTCCCAGACCTGTTCCAAAACTCACTTCCGAAAGAACAGCACGAAATCGAATTTCCCTCTGTTGTTACTCTGTTAACTTCCGAAAAATTCACACGGAAACTTTCCGCCAAGCATATGACAGGCGGATTTAAATTCGGCAGTATAAAAATTAATTATTAATTAAACTCTGCGATAGCTTTATAAATCAATAATATTTTTATGCTATTCCTTGATGTTTTATGTTCCTGATTGCATCATCGGAATCGAAATTATTTGCATATATGACTTATTAATAATTATTTTGTGGTTGCACCTTAAAACCCGGTAAATTCTAGCTATGACAATTGGTGCAAATCCTCCGCCCTTGTTCTAAATTTCGCTCGGATTTGGTAAAAATGGCCTAGAGTTGTCACGGTATGGATATAAGTTAGTATTTCCTTGGGACTTATTCTAAACTTATCCGATAAGGTTAATGGTTCTTTTATAAGAAAGATAATTTATCCTAATTAACGAAATAAGTGTTTTGGCTCGGAATACCACATTATTTCATGTGAAATTTGAACGGGGACATTTGATAGGGACTTTTTTTTCGACTTTGCCATCTCTGTATGCTCTTGCAGTTTGCAATACTATGATTCCCACACTGATTTTTAATACTATTCTGTCGGGAGCCTTTCAAAACTGCAAAGGGACCAAAGGGAAATATTATAAAATGTCCCTAACAAGTAAGGGAAATTTAGTACTGTTAACGGGAAATCCGATAATGTTAACAAATTCACTTCCGAGTAAAAACTAAACAGGCCGGATAATAGTATTAATATATTTTTTCTGGGTAAGTGTTTTAGAAATATGTAAGTCCACAAAAGGTAAAACTAAATAAATATATAAAACAAGAACAACAAGAAAGGAAGCTACCTTCGGCAAGCCGAAGCTTATAAACCCTTGCAGATAAAGTAAATACCTATAGTTTAATGCTCACTCGGTGCAGTTCCAGGGATTCCAGATTCAGCGTGTTTATTTAAATTTTGTTTTTAAGTTGTCAAAAATCAAAACGCCTACTTCCTACAAAGTTACAATGAATTTTCTTATATTTTTTTGAATATTCCTATGGGAGCCTCAACATATAGTGGTCCGATCCGGCTCGCTCCGACATATGTACTTCCTGCAATAGAAAGAAGACTTTCGGGAAAGTTTCATCGCGATAGCTTTAAAACTGAGAGACTAGTTCGCATAGAAACGGACAGACGGACAGACGGACATGGCTAGATAGACTCGGCTATTGGTGCTGATCAAGAATATATATACTTTATGTGGTCGGAAACGTCTCCTTCACTGCGTTGCAAACATCTGACTGAAATTATAATACCCTCTACAAGGGTATAACAATAGAATCAAGAGAGAGCACTATTGTCGGGTGCCCCGACTATCAGATACCCGTTACTCAGCTTAAGGGAGTGCGAGGGAGATGGATATATAAAACATTCATTTTTACTTTTCCGAAATCTTTAAAGGTGTGTGCGCCTGAGACAACTTTTAATCGTTTAAGGCGATTGTGGGCGTTAGAAGGGGTGTCCTCGGCTGAAACAAACTTGCGCTGCGTAGGAAGCCCAAGAATATGTGTGGGTAATTCCAACTTTCTAGCTTTTTAAGTTTCCGAGATCTATGCGTTTATACAGACGGACAGACAGACAGACAGACGGACATGGCTAGATCGACTCGGCTAGTGATCCTGATCAAGAATATATATAGTTTATAGGGTCGGAAACGCTTCCTTCTACCTGTTACATACTTTTGCACGAATCTAATACACCCTTTTACTCTACGAGTAACGGGTATAAAAAGTGACAAAAAGTACTTCAGAAAAATCTATTGTAGCTAAAGAAGTTATGGTCGCCCAACTTTGTGATTGGAAAATCTTGAAGTTAAATGTTCAAAGTACATTTCCCGCTAAATTGTGGGTCTGTGAAGGGTTTTCTTACTATTAAGTCGCAAAAAGTGCCTAAAAATCGAAAATTTGGAACTTTGACCACGGATTTATCAAAACTTCGACGTGATGGAAAGTTTCCAAGTATGAGGTAGTAGGATACAGCTAAAATCCTTTGAGGATTGGTAGCTTTTATTCTTGGGCTTTTTTTGTCGACCAGTGTAATCGGACACTCGCTGAATACTGTTTTTTATACCCTTGTAGAGGGTATTATAATTTCAGTCAGATGTTTGCAACGCAGTGAAGGAGACGTTTCCGACCACATAAAGTATATATATTCTTGATCAGCACCAATAGCCGAGTCTATCTAGCCATGTCCGTCTGTCCGTCTGTCCGTTTCTATGCGAACTAGTCTCTCAGTTTTAAAGCTGTCGCGATGAAACTTTCCCGAAGGTCTTCTTTCTATTGCAGGTAGTACATATGTCGGAGCTAGCCGGATCGGACCACTATATCTTAAGGCTCCCAAACAAATATAAGAAAATTCATTGTAACTTTGTAGGAAGTAGGCGTTTTGATTCTTGACTAATTAAAAACAAAATTGAAATAAATCGAAACGCTGAATCTGGAATCCCTGGAACTGCACCGAGTGAGTATTCTTTTATCTACAAGGGTATATAAGCTTCGGCTGGCCGAAGGTAGCTTCCTTTCTTGTTTTTTTTTATGGAACTTGCTGCAAACTTTGGGTTTTTGGCATTGAGATTACTTTGTAGTAGAGATTAAGAGCAGAAACCATTAATACACTGCACAAAAAATTTAAAATGGCTCCAACAGTGGCGGATCCAGGATTTTTTTGTGGGGGGTGATATCAAAACAATTTTTTTGTTGCATACTTTTGGAATACCAAAATTTCTTTCATTTTTCACCCGAGTGATATATCACCCCCCGTGGATCCGCGCATGGAAAACTCAATTTCGAACTGAAAAGTGTACGGAAATTCACTGGATTGGTAGGAGAAGTCAAGTCTATTGTGGAGGACATTATTATGAGGTTCCGGGAAACATTTTAATTTGACAATAGCAGCGGGGAAGGCCGAATCAAGATGTTAATGACGGCATAATTCCAAAGTACCTTAAGATTTAAAAGGATACAAAATATTTAAAAAACGAGGACGGAAGCTAACTTCGGCAAGCCGAAGTTTTAATACCCTAGCAGATTTTACGAATTAAAACTTGACTAGACTAGCAACATGAATTAATAAACAACAAAATATTTTATAATTGAAAAAATAAAATTTTAAAATTTTTCACCCTATTGTTCCTATGGGAGCTATAGGATATAGACGCCCGATCGGCACGCGCGTTTACCCTAATGAAGGTACGCACAAAAAAATACGATTTGGAAAGTTTCATGGGAATAGCTAATATTTTGCGCGAAATATCCTGAAAAACGTCAAATTTTGACCGATTTCACCCTATT